AATTTTTATTGTTTCATATATATTTTATTATTTTATTGTTTCCCTTCAACGTGACTTCACCGAAAGAGCTAAGAATATGCAGTAACGTAACTTTACACATGCATAACTCAAAATCGTGTCCACCAGAAAAACACAACCAGCTGTGTTTTGTGGTCATTCGAATTGTGCAGGCAGCACCAGCCATGCAAAGCCGCAAGGCAGCAACAATGCCACCAAATCCAAAGGGACATGTGCCGTGATGATATCAGAAGCCTCGACCCCGAATTGCAAGTGTCCACACAACACTGTACAACAAACTCCACCGGATTAACATAGGCCGATAAACGGTGCAAAAACAAGGCACGACTTGAGGATTACCTCCCCCGACCGTTTGCGCAGCCAGGCGAATAATTACAAGACGATAATCTCAAATGCGCACCGTATTTGTTTAACTGCCCCAAGATTCCACACTTTTGTCCGCCAGTCGATTTTGGTCGTAATGGCCCCTACATTTCAAACAATAATTTGCGCATGTCTTTTTTTTAAATTAATGTATATATCGGTAATAGCTTGTCCAAAAGGAAACTTTCCAGCGCCAATTCGGTTTTAATAGCTTCAAATCTTCTTAGCGACGCTGTTTCCCTTGCCCCGAACGCAACCTCGCGGCTCAGCGGCAGCTCAGCGAAGTTTCTCCCCAACCACACGTCAAGACATGAGACCCATGTCTTTACGTGTCTTGCATTCGGACGGCTGCACACGTGGATGGGCAACAGCTGACCACAACAGCCAATTTGCTACAGCCATGGCTATGTAGACAGCCATAGAGTGACAACCACCTTGGGATTAATTTCATTATACGAAGGGGCCTGCTATCGACATATTGTAGGCCTGTGCCCAGCTATGAAAGAGTGTGATCATGCTAAAACCAAAGCCTATGGATGGTGTATATATATAATTTTAATGCACCCTGTACGTGTTTCTAACCCAGGTCTCTCTTGGCAAAGAGACTTGTACTTTCAATGGAAATGTTAAGAATCATAGCACTTTGTAAATGTGCTGATGGACAATGGGCTCACCAAGACAATTTGGTCAAGGGGGGTTGTGTTTGAGACATACTTTACCACGGTGATCAGCGTGGGTGTTTTGGTGACCGGTTCAGATATCACTCCCTACTGATGTTCGCCATGTCTGGGAATCAAACTCATGTCGCCCGGTTCACGGCACAGTGCACACTTTACGGCACCACTGCGCCACTTCTCTATCAACATTATTAAGCCACATCTTTAAAAAAAAGTGTTTATCCATACTTTACCAAGCTGGTCAGTGCACGATTTGGTGAATGCCGGTACCCAGGACCGGTTCAGATATTACTCGCTACTGATGTTAGCTGTAATGGGGTAACAAACTTTAGGTCACCAGGTTCATGGCTACCCCACTGCACCACCACTTCACCTCTAACATTTTATATTTACACGTGGTTATACCAGGTTGTAAACAACGTACTGCTATGAACAGCGGGGCATCATTCCGTGACGCCACATTCAGTGATCCGGGTCAACGTAAACCACGACTTTGTTTAGAAGAGTTAAAAAAAAAGTTTGCTTACACTGCACAGCACAGCACGTGACTTCACCCACGCAAGGTCAATTAGGGCCCTAGCTCCCAGAGGTTCTAAGCTTAGCATCAGCCCCCCAAACTCGTTGGACTTTGCAGTCACTGTTGTGGCCTCTGTGCCTCTGTTTTCAAAGTCCATGGGTGCACAGAACCAGGTCGTCGCCTGCAGGGAAAAGTGTTTTTTCAAATGACATCTGACCGTGGAGCAGATGGCAACGCAGTCATCCTGAGGGCTGCATTTTGGTGGTGCACGCGTTTCCTATTACGGACCACGGTGTTTACAGAATACAGCATTACGCACGCGAAACAGCGCGCGAATACGGAACGTCCCATAACTGACCGTCAGATAACCCTTGCCCTCCCGTGACCAAACAACCGCCCACACCCAATGCAACACTCACGCAAGATGCCACTGTCAATTCCTGCGGATGTCTGCACATCCGACCTTCTCACACATCCGCTTATAACCTTTGGATCCCAGCTAGTCGGATATGCGACCTTGTACGGCACACGGTGCAGTTCCATGCAGACTCTGTTATAATTTCCACGTATTAATCTGTTGTGCTGTTCGCTCTTAAGTTGGAATTCCTCTGCCTATGGGACTTGCTCTGTAATGTTCTGCCATCTGCCAACCCCAGCTTGGGCTGGACACACCTGCGATTCAAAGAATGAAAGTTCACATCAAATGTCCATGTCGATTAGTTATATAGGGTGCCACAGCATGTCCATCACACGGGTGATGTGTCAGACTCGGTACGCAATTCGCACACAAACCTGCAGAACACAAGTCGAACAACTCATGGGTACAGACGTAGGCACGCCAATATGTCGCACAGAAAATCCAACCACGTACTGCATACGGTCAATGAGTATATACGTGATGAATGAACACACAGGCCAGAAAGTACAAAAAGTACACCACCACAATAACACAGTACACCACTTTGTAGGGTATAGAGTACAACTGAGTACACAGCAAATTCCAATAGATAAATGCAGTACAACAGAATATGGCACTGTACACACAGTACAGCATATGGCCAGGGAGTGGAGTACACACATAACATTGTAGTATTTCAAATACGAGACGACACACAGTAGCAACACAGTACACAAACCACACTACACTGTGCTGTAGTCAGTACACACAATGCAATATAGAGTGACCACGAGCAGTATATCACACTGAGAGTACACAACGTATGTGTACATAATATTGTGTTAGCATACTTAAATACAGAGGACACACAGTTTTGTACATTATTTCGTAAGTACTGTACTCCCAGAATATCAGTAAGCACACACAGTACAGATGGGAGTACACACTTTCCAGAGTAACAGACACATCACAAGACATTGTATTGAGTACACAACAGTGTAAGTACACAGTAGAGCAATAATTACACTTAACATAATATAGTATTGACTTCTAGTACAGCACACATCACATGATGAACTCAGTACACAGCAGTGTACATTCACATGGCACAATGCATCCTAGAGAGCACACACAGTACGAAACGTTGTCAGTGAGTACACAGTACAGGACATTATACCGCACATCAATGTAATGAGTACACACAGCACACCACACTGTATAGAGCACAGCACACACACAGTACACACAGTACATCACACTGGAGTACACACAGTACACCACACTGGAGTACACACAGTCCATCACACTGTAGTGAGTACACACAGTACATCACACTGTAGTGAGTACACACACTACATCACACTGTAGTGAGTACACACAGTACATCACACTGTAGTGAGTACACACAGTCCATCACACTGTAGTGAGTACACACAGTACATCACACTGTAGTGAGTACACACAGTACATCACACTGTAGTGAGTACACACAGTACATCACACTGTAGTGAGTACACACAGTACATCACACTGTAGTGAGTACACACAGTACATCACACTGTAGTGAGTACACAAGTACATCACACTGTAGTGAGTACACAAAGTACATCACAATGGAGTACACACAGTCCATCACACTGTAGTGAGTACACACAGTACATCACACTGGAGTACGCACAGTACATCACACTGTAGTGAGTACACACAGTACATCACACTGTAGTGAGTACACACAGTACATCACACTGTAGTGAGTATACACAGTACATCACACTGTAGTGAGTACACACAGTACACCACATTGTAGTGAGTACACACAGTACATCACACTGTAGTGAGTACACACAGTACATCACACTGTAGTGAGTACACACAGTACATCACACTGTAGTGAGCACACACAGTACATCACACTGTAGTGAATACACACAGTACATCACACTGTATTGAGTACACAGTACATCACACTGTAGTGAGTACACACAGTACATCACACTAGTGAATACACACAGTACATCACACTGTAGTGAGTACACACAGTACATCACACTGTAGTGAGCACACACAGTACACAACAATAGTGAGCACACACAGTACATCACACTGTAGTGAGTACACACAGTACATCACACTGTAGTGAGTACACACAGTACATCACACTGTAGTGAGTACACACAGTACACCACATTGTAGTGAGTACACACAGTACATCACACTGTAGTGAGTACACACAGTACATCACACTGCAGTGAGTACACACAGTACATCACACTGTAATGAGTACACACAGTACATCACACTGTAGTGAGTACACACAGTACAGCACACTGGAGTACACACAGTACATCACACTGTAGTGAGTACACACAGTACATGACACTGTAGTGAGTACACACAGTACATCACACTGTAGTGAGTACACACAGTACATCACACTGGAGTACACAGTCCATCACACTGTAGTGAGTACACACAGTACATCACACTGTAGTGAGTACACACAGTACATCACACTGTAGTGAGTACACACAGTAAATCACACTGTAGTGAGTACACACAGTACATCACACTGTAGTGAGTACACACGGTACATCACACTGTAGTGAGTACACACGGTACATCACACTGTAGCGAGTACACACAGTACATCACACTGTAGTGAGTACACACAGTCCATCACACTGTAGTGAGTACACACAGTCCATCACACTGTAGTGAGTACACACAGTACATCACACTGTAGTGAGTACACACAGTACATCACACTGTAGTGAGTACACACAGTCCATCACACTGTAGTGAGTACACACAGTCCATCACACTGTAGTGAGTACACACAGTACATCACACTGTAGTGAGTACACACAGTCCATCACACTGTAGTGAGTACACACAGTACATCACACTGTAGTGAGTACACACAGTACGGCAGGCAGCAGCACAGTCCGCCACACGACTCACACGACCCATCATCACCGCAGTCTCGACGGGGACTTAAACCTCTCTCTCTCTCTCGCCATGCACGTACAAATTTGGATTTCCTGTGGTCGCCCTCGTCTCCTGGTACTCCACCACCACCACCACCTCCTCCTCCACCTCCTCCACCACCACCTCCTCCTCCTTTCTTCTTTCCTTTGTCCCGGCGGCTGGGCGAATCTCCCCGTGCGTGTGGCGGGACCTCCATGCTGGCCGGGGTCAGGGGGTCGCGGTCAGGGGGTCAGGTCACGGGGTCCAGAGCTCCGAGTGAAGGCGAGGCTCAGGGTGAGCTCGCAGTGAGCGTCTACCACCAACACCTCCAGGCGTCGCTCAGGCCTCAGACTCGATCTCCTGTCAGCGGCGGCGGGGGCGGCAGTAACGTCGTGCCGCCGACGTTGAGGATCGAGGCGACATCGTCGGTACGGCAACAGCTGTCCCTCCTCTCTCGTTCGCGGAGACGATGGACGATGACGATGACGACGACGACGGTGCAGAGGAGGTCTTCAACGAAGCCGCGAGCTCTTGTTCGAGACGCCGAGAGGCGATGGCGACGATGTTGATGATGTTCTTGACGACCGGTGAGGATGAGGCGAGTAAAGAAGTGACTGGGTTAAAACCACGGCTCCGCCCGAAACCCAGCCCAAGCCGCCTTCTCTGCCCTCCGGCCTCGCAGCTAATGCTGCTTCTCCTTCTCCTGCTGCTGCTGCTTCGTCTCCTGCTGCAGAAGCTGTAAATGGAGAAAGGAGTGGAGAGACAGAGAAGGAGACCGGCCTCTCTCTCCCTTTTCTCGTCTGTGGTATCGTCTCAGCAGCAGCAGCAGCGGCGGTGGTTGTGGTGGTGGCGCTGCACCGCCATCACGTTCACGTGGAGTCCGCGGGGCCTCCTCGCGCGGCAAATTCTTTGGTTGTCGGATTCAATTCCTCGCGCAGACGCGTGCGGGCGTCCGTGCGGGCGAGAAATGTTTTTATTTTTTTTATTTTTACGGTGTTCTGTTCTCGACGGCAGCAGCGTGGTCCGGGAGGTAAATGTCGACGAGAGAGTGAGTGGGCTTCGGGAGAGTTCGTGGAGTTTTGTAAATAGCTCCCTTTGAATGATCGCGGACGACATCGGTGGTTTACTATAGGGACCATAGACTTACATTGCCCATTCACTAACATTGCCCATAGACTTACATTGCCCATTCACTAACATTGCCCATAGACTTACATTGCCCATTCACTAACATTGCCCATAGACTTACATTGCCCATTCACTAACATTGCCCATAGACTTACATTGCCCATTCACTAACATTGCCCATAGACTTACATTGCCCATTCACTAACATTGCCCATAGACTTACATTGCCCATAGACTTACATTGCCCATTCACTAACATTGCCCATAGACTTACATTGCCCATTCACTAACATTGCCCATAGACTTACATTGCCCATAGACTAACATTGCCCATTCACTAACATTGCCCATAGACTTACATTGCCCATGCACTAACATTGCCCATAGACTTACATTGCCCATAGACTTACATTGCCCATAGACTTACATTGCCCATTCACTAACATTGCCCATAGACTTACATTGCCCATAGACTAACATTGCCCATTCACTAACATTTCCCATAGACTTACATTGCCCATGCACTAACATTGCCCATAGACTTACATTGCCCATAGACTTACATTGCCCATAGACTAACATTGCCCGTTCACTAACATTGCCCATAGACTTACATTGCCCATTCACTAACATTGCCCATAGACTAACATTGCCCATAGACTTACATTCCCCATTCACTAACACTGCCCATTCACTAACATTGCCCATAGACTTACATTGCCCATTCACTAACATTGCCCATAGACTAACATTGCCCATAGACTAACATTGTCCATAGACTTACATTTCCCATTCACTAACATTGCCCATAGACTAACATTGCCCATAGACTAACATTGCCCATAGACTAACATTGCCCATTCACTAACATTGCCCATAGACTTACATTGCCCATTCACTAACATTGCCCATTCACTAACATTGCCCATAGACTAACATTGCCCATAGACTTACATTGCCCATAGACTAACATTGCCCATAGACTAACATTGCCCGTTCACTAACATTGCCCATAGACTTACATTGCCCATTCACTAACATTGCCCATAGACTAACATTGCCCATAGACTTACATTGCCCATTCACTAACACTGCCCACTCACTAACATTGCCCATAGATTAACATTGTCCATAGACTTACATTACCCATAGACTAACATAGCCATAGACTTACATTGCCCATTCACTAACATTGCCCATAGACTAACATTGCCCATAGACTTACATTGCCCATAGACTAACATTGCCCATAGACTAACATTGCCCGTTCACTAACATTGCCCATAGACTTACATTGCCCATTCACTAACATTGCCCATAGACTAACATTGCCCATAGATTAACATTGTCCATAGACTTACATTACCCATAGACTAACATTGCCCATATACTTACATTGCCAATTGACTCACATTGCCCATAGACTAACATTGCCCATAGACTAACGTTGCCCATTCACTAACATTGCCCATAGACTAACACTGCCCATTCACTAACATTGCCCATAGACTTACATTGCCCATTCACTAACATTGCCCATAGACTTACATTACCCATAGACTAACATTGCCCATAGACTAACACTGCCCATTCACTAACATTGCCCATAGACTTACATTGCCCATAGACTAACATTGCCCATTCACTAACATTGCCCATAGACTAACACTGCCCATTCACTAACATTGCCCATAGACTATCATTGCCCATAGACTAACATTGCCCATTCACTAACATTGCCCATACACTAACATTGCCCACAGACTAACATTGCCCATAGACTAACATTGCCCATAGACGTACATTGCCCATTCACTAACATTGCCCATCGACTTACATTGCCCATTCACTAACATTGCCCATAGACTTACATTGCCCATAGACTTACATTGCCCATAGACTAACATTGCCCATAGGCTAACATTGCCCATAGACTAACATTGCCCATAGACTTACATTGCCCATAGACTTATATTGCCCATTCACTAACATTGCCCATAGACTACATTGCCCATAGACTAACATTGCCCATAGACTTACATTGCCCATTCACTAACATTGCCCATAGACTTACATTGCCCATAGACTAACATTGCCCATACACTTACATTGCCCATAGACTAACACTGCCCATTCATTAACATTGCCCATTCACTAACATTGCCCATAGACTAACATTGCCCATAGATTAACATTGCCCATACACTAACATTGCCCATAGACTAACACTGCCCATTCATTAACATTGCCCATTCACTAACATTGCCCATAGACTAACATTGCCCATAGACTAACATTGTCCATAGACTTACATTTCCCATTCACTAACATTGCCCATACACTAACATTTCCCATTCACTAACATTGCCCATAGACCAAATCTTCCAGCGGGTCTGGGGGTCCCCCCCACCCCCAGAAAATTAAATAAATCTTAATTTGAAAACGAATTTCCTACAATTTCCTGCCTAAAATATATATAAAAAAAAATCACTAACACATAGGATGGACTTTTTATTAATTTTTTACAATAATGTCTAATAGTGTATTGTATTACATTGCTCTGTTTTTTTCTTTTTTACATTTTCTTGTTTAACCACAATCATATAAACATAAATCTATTTTACAGCAATATATTTGGGGGGACATTTTGAGCATAGAATATTGGGGGGGATGTGTCCCACTCAATATATATTATAATGACGGCCTTGCCATAGACTAACATTAAGCATAGACTTGCATTGCCCATTCACTAACATTGCCCACGGACTATTCTATAATTGTGTATGGCAGCAATATGTTCAGAAAGTCGATGGCAATGTCGAGGGTCTGCTGCTGGCCACAGCGAGAGGGCTTCAGTGGGGAGAGTTTGAGTCGTTTTGCTGTTCCTCCGCCTTTGAAAGTGCCCAGACCACAGTGGGCTTACTCAAGGGTCAGTAGTTTGCGTTCCATAGCCACAATCGCCCAATTGTTTAACACATTTCTATACACTGTCCTAACAATGTGTCCTGAAAAGAAAACAAACATGTAATTGGCGACGTTTCGGTCAATGGGCCTTCTTCACACTCACATACCTCTCAATCCCTCATGACAGACCAATTCAGACCCTATTGGTCACCCCGTGCCCTTATAAATCTCAGCGTTCATCCTACAAAGTCCCATCACAAGGGAGAAACACAAACAAATAGACGTGATTTGTTGTTGTTGCCCGTATAGAAACGGCTGTACGCCGTATTGACCTAAAATCTCAATTTCCCTGTACAAGAATACGGGTAAACCGTATGGACTGACAGGTTTGCACTCATGTGCTATGAAGAAGGACCATTCCCCTAAACGTCGCCTATTATATTTAAAATTCTCAGGCCAGAGTGTTATCGACAGATGTATTGAGTTTGTTTTCTGTGTACATTAGTAGGGTTACACTCATCGTGGTTTTGTTGCATGACAGTGAACCGCGTGGGAAAAACCCGTAAATCTCCAAAAATACCGGCTTGCGGTACACGTAGTAATAATGCCAGCCAGTAAACACGACGTTTTAACGAAGGTAAGAAGCCACTGTGATAGTCAGCACACAGGGCCGGTGATATCCGAGAAGTGTATATTCTTCTCCCGGAATGCGCGCAACATCGTCAGATCTCGGAAGCTCAGCTGGTCTGAGCCTGGTCTGAGCCTGGTTCGTGCTTGGACGGCTAACCACCACGATGCACAGACAATTGGACATAGACTGGGGATACTTGGTGGACGTCATAATTAACTGTCGGATTGTACTCCTATTCTCCCACGTCTATGCTCTCCCCACCTTCACAAACCTGTACTTTACTCTTTGGTTCTATTCGGTAAAGTCACGTAGGTAAAAAATAAAATAACAAAATCACGACGTTTCGGCCACAACACAAGTGGCCTTCATCAGGTGAAGGGACCGTGCTGTCATGAGGACAGCGTTGGAGTGAAAACAGCCAAGCCCAGGTCGCTTCCTTTAAGCTGTGTGGGAGGAAGCAAAACGCTTTGAAAAAGGAATTAGCATAAAAATGAGCACGATGTACGTAGGAGGTGCATGGGCCATGATGGACCAGGAGCGGGTGGCGACCATGACGGACCAGCAGCGGGGGGGAGTGGAGTGAGTGGGGTGAGTGAGTGGAGTGAGTGAGTGAGTGGAGAGAAATAAGCAACTGTGAAAGTTTGGGATACCACTACTTGAAACCCGTACTGACCAGAGTGATAAATTATGGCCAAATAACCCCCACGAGTGGTACAGCTTGGTGAGGCCCTCATCCAGCAGTGGATTGACAATTATCAGGACTGTACGTGCACTGTTTATCGTCGCGATGTTTACACTCATTTTAAGGCTGCATGGGCTAGAACAAGGCCAGGATTGACTGATTCGCATAATCACCACCGGTGTTGTCCGTTGCCGGGAGAATCGAACGCGGGTCTCTGCAGGGTTCGTAGCGCGCTGCGCTAACCACTACGCCACCGCTCCGCATTCACGCACTCGCGCACACCTTGGGGGGAGCGCCGTGAGTCCCGACGTCACCAGCAATGCCGACACAACCACAGCTGTCAATCACACGCCAGCCAGTTAAAAATAGATGTCAGCTTTTGTGTGTGTTGTAATCTCCAAACGTTACGTACATTAAGTGATGTAAACAACACACATTGTATACTATTTTGTTACGTGATGCGATATACACATTTCATCAGTGCCTTTTCCTAAGGATTCACTGCTCCCATCATATAAATGTGGAATTTCCTCCAATGGCTCAGGACAGTCGATGTTTTATGACTGCATACTGTACTGTACATGTTAAACAGAGTGCGTGGATATCCCATCCAGATCCGGAAAAGACGCTGGCAAACAGAGTGGAACAACGCAGACGTCAAGACATCTCATTCCCGACC